ACATAATTTTATTAATATAAAAAAACTAATATAGAAGCATGATATAAAAAATAAAATAAATACTAAAGTACTTTATCGTAACCATTAATTGTCGAAATTTTCTTCAACATCATCAACATAAATTTCTTCATCATTATTAAAAATAACACTCTCCAACTCTGGCTCATCTAATGATAATTAACCTCAAGCAGTCCAACACCTTCAAGAATATCAAATGAGTCTCCGGCAATGTTCCACATTTTGAATTCTCCTTTTGAATAGAGATCTAATTTTTTTTATAAAAGACGCAAATTGCTACGAATGAAAATTAATTCTTCAGCTAGTTGTGGAGTTATTTTATTCATTTTCGTAGAGTGCACAAAAGAGTGCATGCTCCAATTTCTTTCGACACTAGATGAAGAAGAAGGTTGTGCAAGAAGTTTTAAAGCAATGTTTTGTAGCAAATGTGCATTTGAACCATGAAGTATCGGATATGTATCGAAAATCATACATACATATAAAATAATTAAAAAATACGTATTGAAAATTTAAAAAATATAAAAATAATTAAAAACAAGTATCCTATAGGTATTGGAGGGTATCAGAGAGTATCGAAACTTGGATACGTATCGGATACGGGTACGTAACAAGTTTACTAGTATCGATGCTTCTTAGGCATACAATTTATTAGAATGAATGTAACAAATAGCGCTAAATTAATCATGTCTCTCTTTAATTTTGATGCTAGAATATTTAACCAGTCAAATCAAAGTGACTTAAGCAATCTGTAAAATTACCAGGAAAATGCCACATAACAGGACACAAAGAAGGATATGAAATAAGATCAACGAATATAACGTATAATGATTTTTGAATTGCAACAAAAATTTAAGATGTATCTGCAATTTGACATTTAAAACGTAAAATGATTAGAATTAGCGTCCAAGGGGGTATGTACTCGTAACACGGCATCTGTAATACTGATGCACATACAGCATTTTAAATAATTATTGTTCCTATTATCAGATGGTGAATAGGATAAGATACCTACAAACAAGAATGCAACAATAACCGCCAGCCAAGGTAAATGGAAAATTGAGATAGAAGAGTTTTGCTCCTCCCCTCCAGCACCAACACCTGTTGCATATAAAGATACATAATATTTAGAAACTAGAGGAGGACCAATAGAAACCAATAGAGAATGGTTATCTAAACAAGAAATCTTAAACTATCCAAACTCCTATAATCATACGACAAAATATTAAAATTAATTAAATTAAAATCATAGCCTGATAGTTTAAAAGACAATTTTCAATTTCAAAACTATTAACTAAGGGCTAAAATCCTAGCATCTTCATTATAGCATTTCAAAGAGCTCGTGTTACCTATTGTGCCGATGCCAGCCAAAGAAATTCCTATCCAGTCAATAGTATTCATGGTCTCCTTCAAATAAAAATGGGAAAAAACTGAAAGGATGGCAAGTCCACAGCCAGAAACAGGTTGAATGACAGATACCTAGAATTATTCACCGACATTACAGGGGATGCATAAGCAAAACTTCATATTATTACCTTTAAGAACACATAAATTGCTGAACAGTTAGAAAGCATGCTCTAAGCTTGTATAAAAGAAATTGCTTATAAAACATTTACGGGAGCTTGAGATAGTGCTCGCAGCATCAAGACAGCTCCAAAAATGTCCATCAGAAAGCCTATAATCCATGTTTTATTGGAAGCATATGCTCTTATAACCTACAAAAACAGATCATTTCACATCACACCCAAAAAATATTTAGTAGAAGAAAAAATGTTAAGAAAGTTCAGAAGGAAGAAGAACAACGAATAAGTGTTCAATATGAGCAACAAACAGCCAACATTTTAGTTTGCTCAACTCCTGAAACTGTGCAATAAATAGTGTAATTAAAGTTAACTGGATTTTATATGTCATGATTATGATAGCTTTGATCAACTAAAAGTTGTTAAATAAAGTTATATTGCCATTTTTAAAATATTAAAATACCTTTGTCAACTATTATCAAGTTGAATGCCGAGACAGGTAAAAATCCTCATTGTTTATCCATTCTTAAGTACAAAATAATGTTGCTACTATATTTATTTTTCTTTTGCAAGAGTTAAACACGAGTGAAATAGTTAGCAGAACGTTCCTGTAGATGTAGTTGATAGAAAAATAGAAGTTACCTACCATCAGCCCAAAATTTATTGAGAAAAAACATCAGTGAAACAATCAAAGTCATATTAACTCTGATAACTCATGCCCAACACACAGATTCATATTACAACAAAAGAGAGCTGTCGTGCCTCATATTTATATCAGGATTAGCCATTCCGGATATGATTGGGCCAACTAAATCTGGAGATAGATGAATCTTTGAACCTTGCGAATGGAATATAAGCCATTTCAAACTCCGTCTAATCAATAAATAAACCCCATCCGCCGTCAATGGAAAAACAGAAAATAATAACAAGTCTGTTGCAATAAAATATCACGTTGAAGGCCACTTATTAAAAAGACTCAAAGTAAGTGGTGCATTTCTTTGTGATTGCCTTTTAATTCTGTCCTTACAAACTCAATTCATTCATAGAAACACGAGCTTTACACAACAGATATTTTAGCTTAATAAATCTAAATTAGGTCATCCAATACTCCAAAACAATAAACGAAGCACTGAAATGTAAGAGGAATTGAAAACAAAAACTGATTCTTAAAGGGGACGCAACAATAAAGATCAACTAAAAACAGGAATGTATAATCCAAGATTCATATAAAACAAAAACCAAGAAATCCAAATACACATATACATACATATATTAGAAAGAGAAAATGTGTACATGCCTTGAGCTTGAAAGAAAGAGGTGGGAGAATGACGGTGCCTTTTTTCTGCAGGACTTTGCCTATGTTGTTGCCGGCCGTAGCCGCAATCGTCAAGCAGATTGATTCCCACATCTCTCTCTCGCCCCTCCCTCTCTCTCTCTCTCTCTCTCTCTCTCTCTGTGTAACGATTTTTATGTGGGATCTTTGCACATAGATATTGGGCGTTAGAAATCTCAGTCTAATTTCGACGACAATCAACATCGCTCCCAAGTTCGCCTTTTCCGTGTTTGTTGAAATTACAATTCTAGTCCTTTAAGTTCTGTTTCATGTTACTCTAGACCTCACTAAATGTTAGAAGGTCCCACTTTAGGCTTCGTACCGAGATTATAAATTAATATATATTTAAGTTTTCATTTATTTGGAAAATGTTATATTTATGTCAATTGAATTAGGTTTGAAATCAAATAATTTAGCTCCTGTTTGGCGAAGATTGAAATAAATTTTTTTGTAAATTTTGATAAAAGTTGATAAAATGTGTGGTTGAAAAATTGTGGATCTCATAAAATACGTAGTTATAATTAATCGTTCACTTTTACTTATATTAGAATTTAAATTTTGATTTCTACCAAATAACAAGCCCTTGTTTGCTTCATTTTAAAAGAAATTTGGAGGAAAATGAATTTTGAAATTGTGAATTTTTTTTTAGAATGTATTGTTAAAAATTAAAGAATTTTTTTTCGATTTACGTATAATATTTTTTATAAAATAATATGTGATTGAAAATGATTTTGGAAAAAATATTTTTTTAAAAAAAATGGGGCAAGCATAAGAAGCTAAGTTAGTTTGATTTTGAAAATGAATTGGAAGGAAATTCTTTCAATCTATTTTATTTGGAAATAGTAAAAAATCGACCAAACTGAACTATCTACACCTATAAGTGCAGAGCAGTTAAAATGTCTGGAGTCAAATGTCACTTCCTCTAAATGCACTTTCAAAGTAGAAGATTTTTTAAAATTTTGTTTCCAAACAATAATTAAGGTAATTTCTTGCTCTTCTACAAGAAACAAAAACAAAAGCAAAAATGATATCAAAAGGGTAGTCCAGAGTACAGGTTGAACAACATTATTTTGGAAGAATATATTTTGAAATAATAGATTGATGAAGAATGTGTGGTTGAACAGAAAGAAAAGTTATTGATGTGATGAAAAATATTATTTTATTGAAGAATGTGTGACAGAAAATGAATAAAAGAATGAGAATGAGAATTTTAATATAACTCAAACATGAGCTAACAAATAAATGTCTACTCAATACTCCTAAAGTAGGCTTGAACTAGGTCAGCTCAACAAATAAAAGCCTATTCCAAACTCCAAAAGTCGTGCTGTAGATTGGTCCTCTCCTATAGCTAGATTGCCGGAGATTGATCCCCTCCTATAGCTACGCCGCCCGTACCGCAAATGTTACAGCATCTAGAGCTTTGAGGAGGGATCAATGTCCGAAATACATCATCTAACCATTACACAGAGTCAGCATTCTATTTTTATACAACCTGTGTGTGAAATCAAGCATCAGAGGAAACTACAACCTAAAACATCAAAACGCATAAGAGAACTAGATACTATACAACCAACAAGCATAGCATAACTCGTTGAACATAGTATATGCATACAAAATTAAAAATTCAATTTTAAAGACCTTAATGAAGTCTTAAACATCCCAGTCTGCAGTTAATTTGGACAATTACATTACAAAACAACCAAAATTTTGCAACAGCAAATTGAAAACGGAACAAAATTGGGAAATGGAAAGTCCCCTCTGCAATTCAGAGGACTTGCATCCCCCAATTACACATTTAACTAACCTAAGAAATAAGATAATAAAATACTTAAACAAGAAATATTTCAACTTTCCCGGATCGAAACTGCATTACAAGAGATCGGCAACATTGGCTGGCAGCTCCTCAATTACCACATTATAGAATTTCTGTATGTCAAAAAGCATCCGGTCGTCATCTTTGGTAACAAAATTGATAGCAACGCCCTTCCTCCCGAATCGTCCACTACGTCCAATACGGTGAAGGTAGTTCTCAGGCTGAGTCGGCAGATCATAGTTGATCACAAGCGAGACTTGTTGAACATCAATACCACGGGCCAAGAGGTCAGTGGTTATGAGCACACGCGAAGAACCGGATCGGAATTCCCTCATGATGATATCTCTTGTATTCTGGTCCATGTCTCCATGAGTGGCAGATACAGTATGATCACGGCTGCGCATTTTGTCAGTGAGCCAGTCAACCTTACGCCTGGTGTTAACAAAGATGACACTCTGGGTGATGGCCAAAGTCTCATAAAGATCACATAGAGTTTCAAGCTTCCATTCTTCTTTTTCAACATTAACATGGAATTGCTTGATACCCTCAAGAGTTAGCTCGTCACGTTTAACAAGAATACGGACAGGCTTATTCATAAACTTCCTTGTGATTTCAAGAGCCTCTGGTGGCATTGTTGCAGAGAATACACCAACTTGAATCTTAGGCGGCAAAAGCTGGAAGATATCATATATCTAAAAAGAACAAATCGCCATGTTTGAAACAAAATATTTGTTAACAACTGAACGAGGATGAAATCACAATTCAGTCTAACAGTGCTGGTAATATCATTCAGAGAACTAAGACCAAAGAAAATAGCATCAACCAACTGGAACAGATAGTAAAATAAAAGTCAAAACTGTGATAAAAAAATGGCAATAGTCAATTGCATTTCAGAAAATTATATAGATAATTACTGAAAAATAACAATACCTAGAGGAACAACGTTGCGAACAAAAATTTCATCGTCTGAATAGTAAACAATAGAAAAAATAATTTTTTATATATAAAAGTAAGCAGAGGCTACTATAGCTAATCCGCAAACAAACAGCAAAATGCTCAGTTACAACTAAGTTAAGGAACCAAAAAGCAAAACAAACGCAAAACTCTAAAAGGCAGACCTGATCCTTAAAACCTCTTGAAAGCATTTCATCTGCTTCATCCAACACAAATATCTTAATGTAGTCAGGGCGAAGTGACTGCCTCCGCAACATGTCAAAGACACGACCAGGGGTTCCAACCACAACATGAACTCCACTGGAAAGAATACGCAGATCTTCACGAACAATGGTACCTCCAACACAAGCATGAACCTTGACACCAAGATAGTCACCTAGTGCTCGCATGACCTTCTCAATTTGTTGTGCCAGCTCACGAGTTGGTGCAAGAACCAAAGCCTGGCATTCAACAGTTCCATAGTCCAGCTGCTGGAGAATACCAGAGCAGAATGTTGCAGTTTTCCCAGTACCAGACTGCGCCTGTTGAATTACATCAAGTCCCTTGCAAAAGGGAACAATCCCCCTCTGTTGAATAGCAGAGGGCTTCTCAAAACCTTGAAAGAATAAAGGAAAAAATAGCTTAGCCATATCAATTTCCAGACAGAACACCAGTTTAAAAAACCTAATTGAAACCCGCCTTAAGGCCCACCTCATATTGAGGCGTGCAAAAAATGCCTCAAGGTGCTGACTGCGTGACAGATTTTGGAGGTGTACGCCTTGCACATGCCTCACAGCACAACCTCAAGGCTTGTGGCCCACAAAACATGAAATTCTTATTGATCCATTTTGAGATGTGCCACTAAAATATGTAAAAAATTGTGTTTCTAATATACCCACTTCAGAAATAGTCCTAATGTCCCACGAACTAAAAGAATATTTTCTTTATAGATATTTGTTTTACTTGTTTGTACACTTGAAATTGTTCTATTATGAATTTTGAACATTGTTTATGATGTATTATGAGCTTAGTTTGTATATTAATAATTCTTTTACATTTTTTGGGTTTACTGTGAGGCATATGAATCCAAACACCTCGCTTAGTGAAGGTCAAACACCTCATTACCCGCTTACACATTTTAAACATTGAGAACAACCAGAAGAAAATATAGAACTACTAAGACTCTTATACTGCTGAACAATATAGGACTACTGAAAAGCATCATCCAGATATAGCAGACAGATTATAATTACGTTCATGCTGCAAAAGACTATACAAGCTGAATGGTCACAATTAACAAAGATGGCACCTTGACAGTTTCAAACTGAGCTTCAATATGAAAGTCAAAAAATCGAAGAACAATATTTATCATACTAAAGAAAAACAAATTTGGCATAGATATGATACGAAGTCAAGGAATGACTACTTGCAATCGAGAATGGGTTTATCTTTATTTTTGGAGAAAGCGAGTGAACAGACAGTTAGAACCAATATAGCATTTCATTTACCATAAGCATAGATGCCCCTCAGAAGATTTTCTTGCAATCCCATTGCATCAAAACTATCATACACCTCATCATAACTTGCAAAGAATTCCTCACCATCAGCTCCAAGCCTGCACTCATTGTAAATCAAATAAGAGTCCTACACCATCATCATAATGCGAAATGTCATAAATAAAATCTGACATCGTGGATCACAAGGTTAAATTAAAGAAAATAAGGTTGAAACACACTTTTCAAGCCTAACTTCAGTAACCTAATGATAAGATTTATAACAGAAAACTTACAACTCATTCATTCTGGAATCATATTGACGAGCATCAAATTGAGAACTTTCAGGTGCCATTCCAGCCATGACTGCAAAAAGAGAATAAAAATACACCTGAGCACAGGCTATCAACCATACATTAACAGCTTGACAAGGACATATCATATAATGGAAACCAAAATCCTAAAAAGTATCAAAAATTAAAAGAGGAACAAAAGATGTATCAACAAACAGAATGTATTTATTACTAAGTCAGCACTAAAAATGTCATCACTGAACATAGAAAACCAACAAAGCATTTAATGGGGTTTGACCTTGATTGTGCCACATCACTAGCAAATTTATACAGCAAAATGCTCAACTTTCCCTAAATTCATCTGATGGGGAAACAAAAGTCACTAAATGGTGTAAAAAAAAACACTTATACATAGCTGACCAGAGCAATCAATCAAGTATTACAGATGGTTGTAACAGAATACAGTTAAAGAAGTGCAAAAGTACCATGTATTCAAAAACTTCCATAATTTTCGACTGAACCATACGACATAGAGACGAAAAGCCAGGTAGCGTACAAACATGACACAATAAATATTCCAATTTACTGGATGACATGTAGACGAGAACTTGTGTGCATAACAGCTGGTCTGATTCAAAGATAGAATGAGAATCCAACTTGCCGTATAGAAAAGCTTAAATCTTTATATTCATTAAATATAGAAAAAAAAAGGTATAATTTTAAAACTAAATTAACAGTAAAACATAAAGATTTTCAACACAAATAAAGCCTAAAGCCAAAAACCAAATCCGCCCAAGTTCTAGAGCAAAACTCAATAAACAAGCTCTGTTTCATCGCAGATCAATTACCAAAACAGTTAACAAATTCTGTCCACTTAAGCGCACACATATATACATGCATATATAGAGAGAGAAAGACATAGAAACAAGAGGCGGGCGAATTGATTTACCTGTAAACAATAAAAATTTGATAAGGATTCGAGAAGGAGAGTTTGCGGAGTGAGTGCTTAGGGTTCGCTTTCCGTGAATTATTCCAGAACTCCTCGGATCTACGCCGCGGAGTGTAGGAGAGAGACTGAAAAATAGATCGAGATGAGTATTTTCTTAGGGACTTGGTCTTGCTGCTCTCTGTCTTGTTTTGATGAATTTACGATTTGACCTCTCTAAGTCTTCATAAGACGGCGTCGTTTCGAGATTTTGTTGGAAGGGTGATGGAATGGACCGTAAAGCGTGACTAGACGAAAATGCAAAATTTTTACGAATCTAAAAAAGCTTTTTCTTATTTTTAATATTATTTTAAATTTTTAATCATTTTTAAAATCATTTAATAATTAAAATAATATATATCAAATATTTAAAATTCTAAAATATTATATTTACTTAATAATTTCTACGATTAGTTAATTATACAATTTTCAAGTTTTCAAAATGTAAAAATTAGAATATTTTTTCATAATTTCAATTTTTAACTAAACATATTTAATAGATTTATAGAAATTTTATACATGTTTTTGGAGTTTGCAATAAAATAACGACGTTTGAGATCATAATTACATAATATAGACACTACCATAACTTAAATTTTATTTAACTATTTAGATAAAATCATTTTTAACTTTTGAATAAATAAGATCTTTTAAAAATTTGAAATTAAAGTCAAGTAAAATAAAATAAATTAATAAGTTCAACTCAAATAAAAGACTCTTAAAAAAAGGCAAAAAAAAAAAAAACTAATAAAGTGCGTTTAGAGTAGACAAAAAAGAGAAATTTAGCCGTTCGAAAATTGGAAAAGAAGAGCGTTTAGACTCTAAACGAAGCATTTTGTCTGAAATTCGAATCTAGACGGTGTGTAGGTGAGCTTTTTAGAACATTGAGATTTGAGGGTGATGGGTTTAACTGGAAGACAATAGCTGGGTCAGTAGAGTGAGGTCCTGATCAGTCACTGTCCTGGGCCTAATTAGCCCATTACAGAGCATGTTTGGATAATGCATAGGAAACTAGCACCAATTGTATTATAATTATTTAAGAGGAAATTACATAATTACAAGTATTTCAACTTCAGTGTGCAAAAATCGGGTGAGAAGATTTTTTAATCAAAAT